TTTTTTTTTTTAGAAGACTTTTTAAAACAATTATCTATAGTAGGATGTCAGCTCTCCCAACCAATTGATTTGAACAAGCTTTTTTCATCTTCATTATCATTAAGCTCATTATTCATAAATGATTCAAACTCTTTTTTAATCTTTCTTGTCTCAAGTTCACAACTTTGGTTGAATATAATTATATGAAAAAAATAGTTATATATATATATATTTATTGTAGACTCATTTTGGTCTGGGTTATTTTAATTCCAATTTGGAATTCAATTACACATTAGATTATCATTTGGCCCATTTGAAGTCTTAGTTGTTTAAGACCCACAATAATCTGGGCCAAAATGGTGAGGGTTTTGTTTAGATTTGGGCTGTAGCCCGAATCCATGACCTTGTTTCTTTTTGTTACTTTACTTTTGTCTTTAACAGTTGTCTGATTTTTTTTATTTATTTTTAAAATAAATGACCGGATAACATTATTGATTTGAAATTCAAGAGATTTAATACCATTTGAAATATGAGATAATAAGATTTTGAAAAATAATGAAATTCAAAATTTTTGGCTCAATCTGAAACCCTTTTCAAACTCTAATCTGACTATTATAAAAACCCACAATCAGTTCACAACCGGGGACGGAGGAGAGATACGGCAACCATAGTAGCAATTACAAAAAAAAGTGTACGGTAATTTGGATTTTTGGTTCTGTTCTCAGTGTTTCGAAACTTTAATATTTTGAAGGAATTTAGGAAGTTCAAGAGGATCAAATTCCTTTCAGAAACACGTTTCTGGATAATTCTAGAAATTCTTGGAATTTTCTTGAATTTTCCAGTGGGTTGTTGAAGTTTTAAAGAGATTTTGCATATTCCTGCGGCCTTTTGCAGATTCCGACGAGCTTTTCGGTAAACTTGGCAGATTCTGACGACCCTTTGCAGATTTTCGACGAATATTCGAACGACGATTAAAGATACTGGTTAAACTTTCGACGAACTTTGAAATTTCCTGCAACTTTTGCAGTTTTCGGTGACCGACGATTGGGCCCTTTTCTACATAGAAGTCCAAGCCCAATCCTAGAAAGAGAAGAAGAAAGCAAAAACTAAAGTAATTTTTTATTTTCTGAGCATTTATGCTGCAAAACGATGCAGTTTTGATGGGGCTAGACCTGCGCTCTGCCCCGTCCAGACCTGCGCTCTGAACCCATCCCAGATTTTTAGCTAGACCTGCGCTCTGCTCCGTTCAGATCTGCGCTCTGACCCCATCCCAGTTTTTTTTTTTTCGTTTTTTTACATATTTTTTTTTTTCCTACCTTATATATATATATTGTATTTTTATCTTACTGGATTTTTTATTTTATTTTTAATAATTATATCTTTAGGATTTATTCTGTCATGCATTAGCCAAAGAAATAAAACGGTAAGATATTTCTAAAAATAGAAACAAATGCATCAGCCTCTTCTAAAAGATATAAAACCATAATAAGCAAAGAATTACCTAAAGAGAAAAAGAAATAAGGAAATTTTTTTTTAGATGAAAAATTTATAAAAAAGGATTTATTTTTGTTTTGTTTCGGTAGAAATTTCAAATTATGGAAGTTTTTACACAAATTTTATTTTTAATACTTCCAAAATGGTGGAAGTTTTATACAAAATTCCATTTTTAATATCCCTAAAATGGAGGAAATTTTTACGCAAAAATTTTACTTTAATATTCCAAAACGGTGGAAGTTTTACACAAAAATTTCATATTTAACACTTCCAAAACGGTGGAAGTTTCATAACAAAATTTCATTTTTAATATTTCTAAAATGCTGCAAGTTTTTGTACAAAATTTCATTCTTGATATTTCAAAACGGCAAAAGATATTATTTTAAATATTTTCAGAATGATGAAAATTTCAAATATTTTCCAAATGGTTTCAATTTTTTACACAAAAATTCTTATTTTAATATTTCCAAAATAGTGAAAGTTTTCATAAAACATTTTCATTTTTTAATATTTTCAAAATGGTGGAAGCTTTCATACAACATTTTCAGTTTTAATATTTCCAAAATGGCAGAAAGTTTTCGGACAAAATTTCATTTCAAAATTTCAAAATAGTGAGAAATTTAGATGTAACTCAATAAAATTAAAAGTTATTTTCAACATTTAAACATTAAAATTTAATAAAAAATCATTAAAATTAAAATCTTTATAATAATTTAAAATTAATTAATATCATATTTTGAATGAACGTATTGAGATGCTATAATATTTCTCATGCATAATTGACATTCTAAACATAATTTTGAAGTGCAAATCAAATTTTATTCTTTTAAAAGTCTAAATCAAATTTAGGCTATTTATGAAAAATTAAATTAATTAAGGTGGTTAATTACATTTATAAAAAGATTGAAAGTGATTTTTATGTTTAACGATAAGTTTATAAACTTATACGTTATGACATATATATATATATATTTATGCTTAGTAAGATAAAAAAAAAAATATTTCTGAAACCAAAAATAAGAAAGACATTATAATTGTTTTATAGTAAAGAAAAAAAAAACACACTAAAATATTTATTGAAAATATTAAAACTAATGAGAAATTAAAATCCTTTTCTGAAATTGATTTACCGTAACTTGTACCAAAAGAACTACAATGATATTCACCTTTTGTTATTTACTCGACTTTCGCAAATAAAACAAATTAATCATGTTTATATTTTTTAAAGAAAAAAAATGACATTATTGTTTTTTAAAAGAGTAAAAAATTTTACTATTATTTATAAAATGTTTTACCATTTATTTTCATGGTATTTACCGTTTTTATATCTAAACTAAATTATAAATTTCTAGATTTTGGCAAAAAAAAAAAAACTATATATTTGTAGACTAAACCTAATTTTTTAAATAAAAAATAATTAGAGATCTATTTGAATAAAAGCTGAGATTAATTTCAGTGAAATTAAAAATAATGATAATAATAAAATTAATTATTATATAAGTTAAAATTAGATATTGTAATGGTAAAATAAAATTAGTGGTGTAGTATTTGTTTAAATAACAAAACAACGGCGGTGATAAGATAAGAATAAAAAGTTACCATTAAGGACTTATGCTTTAAAATTTATTAATAAATTATTTATATATATTTTAATATTTTTATAATATTAAAAATCTTAAAATTTTAATTCAATCAAAACAATAATACATGTTATTTATTATATAATAATAAAATTTATTTATATTAAATTACTAAAATTATTTTAAAATTTATAAATAAAAAAATTAAAATAGCGTGAAAATCACTGTAACATTAAGAGCAAAAAAGAAAAAAATAAAAAAATAATGGGCGAAATAGGAATAAAAGCTATGGTCAGATTGAAAAATTTTCAACTGGAGCTTTTATCTCCAGTAAATAAACGGAGCCCATCGCGCCTCACTGGTGCTATCCAAACACCTTGACAGTGCTATTTGCACCAAAAAGAAGAAGTAATCGCACTGAAATTTGCACCAAAAGGAAGAAGTAATCGCACTGAAACGGAAGTTTAGGGACTTCCAAATGAGCCAAATATAGTTTTAGAATTCATTGTTGAATTCAATGCTAGATTGTGGATGTGTAGATAGTATTGATGGATATATATATATATAATTTTAACATCATGAAATTATGATTAATTTTTTAATTTTTTTGTTTATAGGTATCAAATCTATGTATATGTATTTTTTATTTATAAAAAATTAAAAGCAAAATTTTTTAGGAAAAAATTAATTGTACATAAATGTATATATTTACAATATTATAAAATAATTTCTATGCAATTTATAATTTACAACATTTATTATTCCAGTTATGTTTGTCTTGTATCGATTTTTTGAGTCAAATAAATTCAACTTTGGCCATTATTTTTATTAAAATTATAAAATTAAAAAATTTTAAAAAATAAGATTTGTAAAATTTAAATATCAAAAATTTCAAAACTTATGAAAATTTATGTAAAATTATTTCTAGGTACCTATAACTTTTTTTACTTTTTGAATCAGATTGTTCATATAATAAAAAAATTATTTTCTTTAACTTTGTAATGTAAGAATTTTTTTTTCATCAAATAGGGATATTTCAATATAAACGGCAAAATAATTAAAGTGAAGATGAAATTCTATAATTTTAATTCTTAATGATAATTTAACTAATTTGTACTTTATTATATTTTTAAGCATTATTTAATTTATATCCTTAAGCCAAGAAAAGTGTCAATATTTCAAGACTTTTCATCATTTTATAAATTTAAATGCATCGTTTTTAAATTTAAATATAATAATTACACAAATTTAAGAAATAAATTTTGAAGAGATAGATTATCCATTTTCATTTAAAAATTTCAAAAAAATAAGAAATTTTAATACTTTTAAATAATACTTTTATATTTTATTCATATGTTTGTTTAAAATTTAATATCCTTTTATAATCATAACTTTAAAATAAATTAATTAATTAATTTGCACCAATCAACCTAGTTTTTTTAATATAATATGCGATAACTTTTGATAGATGATTTCTTGTAATAAAAGCATCTTTTTGCTTTGGCAAAAAAATACTACTAATAATTAGTTACGTTCCAATTTTCAACAATGAACATTACTTAGTCCAGCCGAAAGCCAACTCATCTATCGCCAATGGGTTCGTTATTGGGGTATTTCGTTCACAAAGTTTATGTGCTTGGTTATAACTCCCTTATATATATATATATATATATATATATATATATATATTTATTGTGTTTGTATTCTTTTCTCATTCTGTCCTCTCCTAATCTCTTAATCTCATTGACTTCCATTAAATAAATTTCTTTGCCTTTAAAAAAATAAGTTAGTGTTCAAGTGGCATTTTATTAAGAGAATGGAAAAGAAAAAAAAGCTTCTTGAAGTATGAGCCCTATTGAAAAAAAATTCACTACGGATCTCTAAGCACATAGCCAAGAAATGAAGAAGAGGCCGAAGACTACTTTCCATCTGATCTAAGAACATAAAGCAAGTTTTCTATAGTTCTAGTCACCATTCCACACAGTTTAAGCTCCCATGGCCATGGCAACACCACCCACTTCTCTAGTGTTCAAGGTCCGTAGGTGTAAACCAGAGCTAGTTACCCCAGCTAAGCCCACCCCTCGTGAGTATAAACCATTGTCGGACATTGATGATAGAGATGGTCACCGATTTCAATATCCGATTATCCAACTTTATCGATGCAACCCTTCCATGAAAGGGAAGGATCCTGCTAGGGTTATTAGAGATGCACTTGCGAAAACTCTGGTGTTTTATTATCCATTTGCCGGTAGGTTAAGGGAAGGGCCAAATCGCAAGCTTGCGGTGGATTGTACCGGTGAAGGGGTGTTGTTTATTGAAGGTGATGCCGATGTTACACTTGAGCAATTTGGTGATGAACTTCAACCACCGTTTCCATGCATGGAGGAGCTTCTATATGATGTTCAAGGTTATGGTGGAGTGCTGAATTGCCCCTTGTTTCTAATCCAGGTATTTCATTAGACTCCAAGCTCTTAATCTGTAATTCTTAATTGCCTACCCTTGATCATAAACAAATGCTTAAAACAAACCATTGACCTTCCAAATTTATATATTTTCATTTAACATCTTAATTATTTTGATATTTGAAATTATTAAGATTTAAATTATTATCATTAAAATAAAAAAATCTAACACTTTATGCCATTTACAATCGTTTAATTATTTTTGATTCCTTGCAGACGGTGGAAAACATGTACAAAACTTTTCAGTGGGAAGTATAGTAATTAAAAATTAATACATAGAAAGAGTCTTATACCTTATCATTTTATTTTAAAATTTACAAAAAAATAAAATATTTTATAAATAATTAAATCAATTGCATTGTCTAATTACTTCAATATAAAATAATATGTGGTACGTCTACAGTCAAATAAATTATTATTACAATTGAAGAGTTTTAGTATATAATATTATAATATATTTATTTGTATATGAGTTATTATTTCATGTATGATTATCGTATCGGTTTTGAAAATTGTTAGATAAATTTTAAAAATTTCAAAATTAGAGAGAATCATCATCAATATTTTTTGTTATATGTAATTAATTATTTAAAAATTTATTTTTTTAATAAAATCTTAAAATTAATTAAAATTTTTAGACAATATTTTTGTTTGCGAAAAATAAAGTTAAATTTAAAAGTGCAGTTACGTATAAGGAAAGATTAGTATCTCATAGCATTTATTTTGAAAACGGTATCAATTAATTATATGTTATTTTTTAATCTTAATAGAAATGGTCATACTTTTGATATTAAAAAATAATTTTATAATCTTTTTTATTATAACAAAATCTTTTTTTTTTTAATTTTTGCTTGAAAGATAAATAAGAACCTTGTAAATTGAAATATTTCAAAAAAATATTTCAGTACTTTGGTAATATTTAGATAAACTTTTTCACCTAAAATCTTTTAAGAATCACTTCTCAAATTTTTTAAAAACTCCATCATCGACGATTCGTATTTATCTTTAAAATTAATATTTAAGATGTATATAATAAAATAAAACTTATAATTTAACCCGAATGTATTTCTCTTATAAAAATCCATTTTTTATCTTTTTATTAAGTAAAAGGTGAACAAAAATATTTATTGAAAATTATTCTAAATGTCCTAATATTTTGACAGCATTTTAGAAAAATCTTATCACTTAGAGATTCTTAAAGAGTCAATATTCAGACTCTTTTAAGATTTCATCTTCGAAAATTTTATTTTTTTATTATTAATATTTTATTTTAAAAGTTATACAAGAATATAATATCCATAAATAAATTTATTTCCTAAAAGATGTATATTTTTATAAATATTTTATATTTTTATTTCTTTTAAAAAAGTTATTTAAATTAAAAAGAAGGAAATCTTTGTATTGAAAATTTTTTAAAATATTTTAATACTTTAAGAATTTTTAGAAGATTTTTATCACTAAAAAAATTCTCAAGAATCGCTATTTATATTTTTCAAAATCCTATTATCAGAAGATTTTCACTCATTTTTTTATAGTGAAATAAATATACTTACGCAAGAAAAAATCATAATATTAATTCTTAACCATTTAATGTATTTAAAAAAAATAATATTTTTATTATTTTTTATTATCAATAATTTAAAATAATTAAATATATATTTATTAAAAAATGTAAGTAAAAATAAACAAGTAACTAAATTGTATTAAAATAAATTTACTACAAGTTAGGTCAAAACCCAATTCAATGGAAGGTTCTAAAGCAAGTGGGTTGAAGTTTAGGCCTTGTTTGTGGTCTGATTCGATGGTGGGTCCAGTAGGTATGGATTAGATCCAAGTAGAGCTTGAGTCGGGCTTGGGTCATGGGTTACTAGATGAGTGGGTCAGGAGCGAGTCAATCATAGGTCAGGTTGGCTTTTGGTTCAGGTCTGACTCACCAGGTGTTTTTTATTTTTTAATTTTTTTAACTATAAAAGCGAAAGATTTTTTGTTCAATTCATTTCTCCTCCTCTTAGGAAAAAAAAAAGCCAAGTTCGTAAAAAATAAACCTAATCACTGGCCAGTTCTCAAACCCAGAACCAGGTGGCTTGCCATCGCATAGGCCGTTGTAGCTCTGCCATCATGGCCGGCCACTGAATAGTTCTGTCACAAAATAATTGTGACTAGATGAACTAAAGATAATAATGCATTAAGAAAAGACTAGAAATTAAAAGAAAAGAGAATAAAACCAAAAAAGAGAGTAGCAAAAGAGAAAAACACTTTGATTTTTTCACTTATATCATCATTCGTTACATGGTTGGCTTTTTATAGCCTCTCATTACATCATTTTGCATTTGTCTACTAATTACAAGGCTCCCTTAAAAATAAGTGACACAGTAAGCTACTAACTAATTAGATTCTTCCAGCTAATTACTAGTAACAGTATTGCCACTT